AACAAAGAGCTCACCCTCAGAGAACTGCTTAACCGCTCCCCGCTGTTGAACGAAAGAACCATGATTGACGAGAAAGTGATGACACACATCGCTCAGCACTCAGACCAGTTATTTATCATTTTCGATGGATATGATGAATACAAAGACCACAATGAATTATTGGGAGATTTTGAAGGACAATTTGAAAATGATACTAAAACCAAGATGCCAGTAGCTGCTCTGATCAGCAAAGTAATCCAAAGGAAGATCTTGCGCGACTCAGTCATCATAATAACTTCAAGACCGGGCGAAGCCGACGAGTTGGACAAAAAACTCCAATTTGACAGATGTGTGGAAATTACGGGATTCTCAGACGAACAGGTCCTTCAATATGTTGAGAAGTATTTTAACTCTAAACCAGAAGAAGTAAAAAAGATGGCCATGGAGAAAGTAAGAGCAACCGCACATTACATGTCATTTGGTCGCGTCCCTCTGAGGTGTTTGTTCGTGTGCCAAGTCATCGAGTATGAAATCCAAAATAACATTACTAGAGATAATTCAATTCCTCTAAAAGTTACACAGTTTTATTGTGAAGTTATTAGATGTCTAGAGAGGAACAATAGAGAAATCCGTAGTCTAGATGAGGAAGCGATGTTGTTAGCTGTTGAGAAAACTTTGGATAATTTTTCTAAACTAGCCGCACAGTTAGCTGAGCAAAATCGTTTCACTTTTTCTCAAAAAGACTTAAAAAAGCTAAAATTGCCAGAAGTTGAAATATCTTACCTTAAATCAAGTAATTTAATATTTTGTTATCCTGTTGCCAGTGATTCTCCATTCCCACAATCAACTCTTGAATATAGTTTTTCACATTTATCCATTCAAGAGTTTTTTGTTGCTTGTCATTTGGTAAAGAAGCGCGCAATGGCGGCACAAGAAACCTCTGACATGGTGCACATATTCACGAGTGGTTTGTTGGGTTTAGATCAGGAGAACAACAACGATAAATGTATGTCGAAAGTACTAAAGTCTGTATGTAAACAAGGGATGGGTTTACTGAGACAACGCGTTGTGTTATTGCGCTGTCTCCATGAGTACGGCCTAGAGAAAGAATTCACACGACAAGAACTGACTACAAATCGTGACTACAGATACTGGAATAGTGGTGGGTGGATTGGATTAGGTGGTGTAACCGACACGGACTGTGATGTACTCGCTATGTTATTAGAATCCACTGCTACATCAATATCATCACCACCAGACACATTGTTCATTGTTAACTCACAGATAACCATTACCATGTTAAATAGATTGTTGTCATCTCTTCATTCAAACTCCACAATCACTGTACTGGGGCTGAGGTCGTGTAGTTTGAATGATGATCACGTAAAGTGTTTGTGTAATCATTTTAACAACACTCACATCACCTCACTAAGCCTGTCTCACAATAACATAACAGATGTAGGGGTGCATCACATTGTACATAACATAGCTAGTAAAATAACCTTTCTAGACCTGCAAGATAATCCAGTATCTGTAGAAGTTAGTAAGAGTAGTGAACAATTCTGTCAGGATAATTATCCTGGACTTGAGTTCTACATATAGATAATTTCAATATTATACCCAGAGATGTAGGTTTGCACTAATACAAAAAATTCAACACAGCAAAAATCACATCAAACTGTTTATTAAAAAAACTAGTCTTATTTTTACATTAACTTCAAATAATTTCATTGTTCATTAAGATACCCATTTTATCAAATTCTATATATTTTTTTATGTAGTAGTTCATGAACACATTTCTCAGTTTTGTACAATTTGAAAGACTTGGATAGTGACAAGTATTTTATCATTTCACATTAGATTCATTTTCAACAGTTTTGCATTAAATTTTGAATAAAATGACAGCTCCATATGACTTTAAATTGTACATTTATAAAGTTCCTAAGCAAAGATTATTTTTGCTATTTGTAGTTTGGTATTTTAGACTTCAATAAAATATTCATCATGAACTTCAAACTGTCTTGTTTTTGCTTTGGGGTCAAAATTCAAACTTTGAGTAAGATTATGACAGAAATTGTTTTCTTTTTTGTCTTGTGGCTCATTTGAAAATAGATATTTCAAGAAATTTTTGAATAAAATGAGGGAAAACTTGAGACAACCGTGCCGTTTTGAATTTGAAGTTCAACTTCTAATCAATGAACTTGGTTTTCAAAGTAAAAAACAAACTAACAGTTGCTATTGCTCTATCGTTCAAATGGCAAGAGTATCTAAAGTTTGTTAAAACGTTTTTGTAGAATTTCTAGTGGAGACTTCATCATATAAAAACGCTCGCTAACGGAAAACAACCTGCAGTCGTTCCGTGAAAACAGCTACCAGTTTCACCGAAATGTGATTTTTCAAGACTAGCAAACAGGAAAGTTGAATGAGAAAAACAACTACAGAGGTTAATTTTCGGTAACTAAAATTATTGTCGTATTTTCCGACATTTAGTATGAGCAAACCTTGGATTGCTGGTCTTTGTCATAAATACCCTGACAGTGGACCTGTGAAAGATGAAAAATGGATTTTTGTTAAAACGGGTTATGCACTCAAAAATTATCTCAAAAATGATTTTAGACACAGAATGTATATCAAAAGTCACTTACCACTTGTCAAGGTATTTGTAAGGAACGATATTTCCACCATTTTAAGTGTAAATTGAGCACAAAATATCAAACAAACCAACAAAACTTTGAGCGGCACCCAACTCTCTTGACATCAAACCAAAACTGGCGAGTCACGCGATGTGAGAAGTAAAGGCGGGAAAATACTACGCGCTGATTGGACGATACTAAAAATGTAAGCGATGTCGTGTAGGAGGAACGCAAATCAGTTCGACGCAAAGTGTTTGCGAAAATGAAACGTCATCTTGTATCTATTCATTTACATTTTAACTCGTTATTTTATGTCTTTTTGA